ACTCTGTAGTAATACTACTATGCACTGTCACACTTAATTAATGAGCTTGCGTGCACAAACGCAATGTCACTTCAAAACACGACTTATAATTCTATTTTGCAAAGCAGGACAGAACAAATCTCATGACTGCACCTACTTGTAATAATATTAATATCATTTACCCTATCTGTACGTCATGTTTTACTATCGTATCCACACAATGTGGGGCACTCTGTACCACCACTTTCCAAAGAGGAAATTTCAGTCAAAATGATTTTTTGAGAAATACTGAAAGTTTCAAAGAGATCTTCGTACCGGTACTAGAAGTATTCTAAAATGTGAAGAATACAACCCCGGGAGTACAAAATGACCCCAGGGCGTACGGATAGGATTAAAGAAGGTCTACTCAGACATGAAAACTGTCGGGCCTGCTCTAACCACCACCGGGGCTCTTGTGGTCTAAGCGGTTACGGTGTTCGCCTCTTATTCTCAATAGGTCCCGGTTCAAAACCTGACAGCCATGGACAATTTTCGTCTCTAAAATGTTCTCCTTTTCTGCTCTCTAACCATGTTCTATCATCTACTAACTCCACTTTCAGCCCCCCCCCCCCCCCCCCCCGAGCCCTTTCTCCTACGAATCTAAGAACCAGAGGTGCCAATTGGCTACACAAAAAAACACAATAGTATATGAAACTTTTCAAACCCCATGGGATCACAGGTGCAGATACTCAAAATTTACCTATCATTTTGTCAGATACATCTAGTAGGCTACTAGTATCAAAACTATAAAGAAAGAAAAATGCGACAACTTGTCAACGAACTGCCTGAAGTTGGGCAAAACCCAGACAATAGCAATTTAAGGAATCCAGACTACTCAATTTATCTGGAAATTTGGAACCTCTGAAAAAACCTGGTGCTCCCTCTCCCCCTAGCATTATTTGTTTAGGTCCAATTGACCATTACACTGTCAAAATCATGACAAAATGTACTGTTCGCACAACCCCAAAAAAAAACCTTGTTGGAAGGCCATCGCATTTTTCTTTGAGAAAAAATGCACTGAAGCCCACGATACCATTATTATTTTTAAAAAACAATTCATTACAGAAGTCGTTATTTAGACTGAGGTCAAAGAACGAATGAACACTCGCCATAAAACCCCTTTAATTCTAATTATGTACTCAATTCTGCATACACTTAACTCTTTTTCCAAAGGAATTTACCCGATAAAAATGAGAAATATTGAAGAGAAGAAAAAAAAGAAGTAATGACAGTATTGACAGACTAATGTCAATGATTTGGTTCCTCTTCCGACATGGCAGAGAAAGAAACAATTGTGTCGAAACTTCTACCGCATCAAAAACATGAACGAGGGAACAAGAAATTGTACAGCCAGCAATCTACCTCTCATACGTGCAGTACTATTTAGTCAGCTGCCAAAGAGGAGTCTCCCACATGTGACAGAAGAAATAGCAGTGAAGAGGAAAAGACTTGATGTTATTGAGGTACATATTAAAACAATAACAATATAATTCACAATCCATAACATACATTATCTTCAAAGGCATAAAAACTGAATGCATAGACCTTTCCACGTACCTGTACAGTATCTACTAACATCACACAATTCTGACAAAAATCAGCAAAAATGCGAGATCTGAGGTCCCAATCGAAAGAAGCCGCATTGTTGTTTTTGTTGGTGGTGGTGGTTTGTATTTTGTTTGTAATTTTTAATTTTATTGCTGATTTTGCACAAGGGTGACAATAAAATGAAAGGTATCAGACGAGGAAGACCGAGTGCCATGTTAAAACAAACACATGGGTCGCCACCACTCGGAGAACGAGCGACGCTTCTGTCACAAGTTCATGTTGACGTCCTTTGTTACTTTGTTACAGACTGGGTAAACAGTGACCACTCATCTCACTTACGATTTGCGTATGAGTTCTGGGCGGGGCTTATGGGTTATGAGGGATCAAACGCTTACCTCACCAGCAGCTGAAAATTGGTAGCTATTGGTCAACAGTGGGAGGGGCCTGCACAACATGATCGGTTGGAAGGACTACCTAACAACAACGACAAGTGATTGAATTATGACGGCTCGCCCACAACGCCAGGGGCCAACGCACAATTTATGACAAAACGTAAAGGAGTCACTAAGGTGGCCGTCTAAGACAGGTGTTATTGCTTAGTGTGATAGGGGTTGTGTGTTAAAATATGGTGGCCGCGGCTGCGTTGGACAGGTGCCCGTTTTACACAGTTAAATTATATAGAAAAAACGCAAGGGGGGAAATGGAAAGTGGCCGTTTCTACAGGTGGCCGTCTTATAGAGGTGGCCGTCAGGGCAGGTTTGACTGTATATCTTTTGTTGCCCATATTATTACTAAAGTAACCAGTAAAAATCTATTGAAAAATGCATCTTTCATGATAAGTCACATGACGTTATGTTACATATTTCAACTACATTTTCTTAGAACCCTAATTAAGATGGCTTATTGACACAAAGGTCATCGACAATGTCCTCCGTATTTTAAAAAAAAGAGCCTTACTTTTAGTGAAGGTTTTACGGCACCTGCAACACAAATAGAGGTCATAATATAGTACCAAAGATTAAACGTGTTACTGTTACTAGAAAAGGAAATATTCCTAAGAAAAGAAGGAGGTGAGATGAGGATGATAATGATAAATAAATGTTTGAAAGGAAAGATGGAGCAAACCACACCAGGACACTCATCAACCACCCACCAAAAAAACCTCTCCATTCTTACCCCCTATTTAATAAAAAAAAGAAAATGCCACATACACCTACAAAAAAAAGCCTCCAAACAGTAATGAATATTTAATTTTTTACCATCACAGCACCAGCATCAATCAGTATCCAGAAAGACATGATTTGCTGCTTAAGCAAAAGATGTTTGATTTCTTCCAAACTATAGATCTCTGCTTTACAATGATACACACACACGTATGAGGGCCAAAGGAATGTCATATAACATATATTTTCAGGACTAACAACACAGCATCCAAAAAGACATTTGAACATCAAGTCAGCACTGAAAAAACAAAGAAAAACCCCCCCAAAAAACCAAAAACCAAACAAAAAAACTAACTTTATACAAGAACCAAAAATTTCAAGCACAACCTAGACATCCTTCTGAAAAGTCTGGAAAAAGGGGTAGACTCACAGTCAGCAGACTCCACTGAATGTGCTGTCCCTGTGGCTTTATGCACCCCGCATAATTTATTTAGCCAAATTTGATAATTTTTTGCATAACATAATTTCTGAATATTTTCCTTTATCATTCTTTGATTACAGTGCATGTAAAAGAATCGCATAATTTCACATTTTTGGGCTCATTTTGCATAATTTCAAAATTTTTCTTGCTTAAAACTACAGGGACAAAATGTGTCACTCTAAACTCTAATGTAAAAAAAAAAAAATTGCTATCTTTATCTATGGAAAAATGTTCGAAGCTTCCACGCTTTGAGCACTAAACATGTAGGGGAGGTTGGAAGGGGGGGGGGGGGGGGGGGAAGAAAAAGAGATTATGAAAGACAGACAGACCGACAGAGATAGAGAGAGAGAGATTCCTCACACTCAATGGCAACGTACAATAATAATTGTTTAAAAGATAACATACAATAAAAACGATTGTTTTTTTACACAATTAGTGTAGATTTACAAGTTGAGGTAAAAACTGGAAGTGAATTATTTGCTGTCATGGGGTCACTGCTCACCTTCTGTCAATACCACTTGCAACCATACAATAAAAACCCACCACGATGCACACATGTAACCTTAGTCAACAGCTTTCCATACACACACCACACAAAAATTCTATCTTTATCACAATACTGGTAGTTAAAAAAAAAAAACACTATCCGAAAATGCAAGACACACCTACAATTAGTATTAGGTGAAATAGTTAAACACCCTAGGGGCCACCGCAGAGAATGCTGCCCCACACTAGTTGCAGCCCTCCCCCCTCCCCTTTTCAAAGCCAGCCACAAGAAAGAATGCTTTAAAAAATAAACTTGTCTGCATCCAGACGGAAACCATATTCTCCCAACATTTGCAAACAAATCAAAGTTAACTTAAACCCACCTTTGCTTGCTGTGCACATATGTGCGTTACTAAAATTATTTATTCCAATCCTAGTGGTGAACATACTCTCCCCCCAAGAAAAGTTTAGTTGTCAGCCAGCCAAGACCCTGACCCATCTGCCAGCCACAGGATGGTTGGTTTCCAAGGTGTTAACAAATTAGATATTTTATATATATGTGGAACTGTTACACTTACACTGTCATTGCATATAGCCAATACTACATAAAGTGTACCCTGAAGTTCAAACTTTTTCACAAACAAGATTCAATAGAGGATCCCCCCGAATCTTCTAATAATGGATGATAACTGTAAACAGGTTGATGAACAACAGACTGCGTTTTGATGATAACTGTAAACAGGTTGATGAACAATAGACTGTGTTTTGAACAGCACCAGTTCTTAAGAATATATAAGATCTTCTCCACCGACATTTATGTCAAATAAAAACAAAAGTACACTGTAATGAATGCTGTTACAAGTTCAAAGTTCGATATAACTATAGATCTAAATGAATGGAGCACTAAAAAGTTCAAGTTGTGAACAACACACCTCAATTTGTTTTCAGGCAAACATTCCTTATCAAGAGTAACGTCGAAAACAATATGACACGCATATGCATTGGTGAACACTCACATCTGTATTACAAGGACAGGACATGTAGATTCAGAACACATACATAATATAGTTACGTAATTATGTCTTTTAAAACGTTTCACCCGACATCCTCATAGTGAACATTGTTGTCTCTAAGGAGAATGTGTTTGCATAGAGGGAAATATTCACAAAACTATAGAATTTTTTTTTAAAACACCCAAGACTTCGAGTGAAAACAAGGTGCAATCCTCAGAATAGTACCTACTGTGCACAGAGGTGTCCAAAAGTCAGGTAAAACATGCTTACCGTTTTCATTTCCACTTGATCTTTTTTTTTTTCAAATAGACGAATGCAAGTACAAGTATCAACATTTCATTAGCAAATTGGTCACTTTGATTTTGAGAGGAAAATAGTGACAAAAAAACAAACCTTTTCTGCATTCTTCACAAGGTTTGACCAAACAGAAAACAATCTTGTAGTCATGTGCCTGCCAAGCAGCCACCACTACTTGCATTGGGAAAATACTACTATTCCATTTGAGGTATTAAAAAAGAAACTTTCGAGACTCCAAATACACCCCTTGATATCAATAGTGTGCTTCTTGGAAACAAACACATTCTCCGCCTGTTCCCTTCAATCTTGGAACAGAAGTCCAACTCATTTACTTTTTCTTTTAAATCAAATTAATTTCTTGTTGCTGGGAAATGCAACTGAGCGATTCTTCCTTAATCTTTCCAGGAATCTTTTTTTATCCCACAACATGTACAGTTGGGCATGGATTTAACTCAAACCACATCTGGATTTGACAAGTATGTTCGGCACATCTATAATCCAGGCAAACCGATAAAACGTTCAAATCAGAGAAACTATTGAAGTAACTGTGACGGTGCAATGGTCAGAAACTAAATCACACTACCATAACAGATTTACTGTTACGTATTCGCCAAACACAGCTGTTAAAGTAATGAAGTGTCTCTTTTTGAACCCATCCAACCATCAAGAGAATGCATGTTAATTAAGTCAAGGCCAAGTTCCTTTGCGATGTCACTTGCTTTTGTCATCAAAATAATAAGACTAGAGATAAAAGATGACATGGTACGTTCTTGCTGGTGCCAGCTCGATGTTCTCAAATTTGGAAAAATGTGCTTGCTTTCATTGCTGGCATTTTTTATTTATCTTGATTTGCAGATACTGTCTGTTTTTGTGCAGGACTAATTCTCAACCACTACTAAAATCTGAGCTTTGGTTTCTATTGTCAGGCCCAGACATGAGTTTTTTCTTATCTGCCATCATGAAAAGTGCCCAGTATATCTATAAGAGGATGGACATTGCATGGACCTTGTTCGGTGTCCAATCAAGAGAAAGGAAGAGAGCATTGCTGATGAGCCTTAAGACTAAAATAAAATTGCTCTTACATCAGATAACAAACACGACGACGTAAACAACACAAGTCAGAGCTCGCCACCTACCCCTCTTGTGTTTACAACCCATGTAATCACTTCCCAACCCAAATCTTCTCGTTCAAACAACCACACACGCACATTTTTACATACACACAAACATAATTCACACACCGTACGACCTAAGCACACTACAAATAAGGTGCGGTGATGCTTCTTGATACCAGCAGTGTGTGTATAATGCTGTGCAGGCGTGAGCCTGGTGGGCTTGTGTAACCCGATACTCTCGATGACGATAAGCGCCATCGTGTACGCAGGGCAATTAGAATTGAAGACAATTGTGAGAAAAAATTGATCAGGGTTTTTCAAGCCGAGCTGATTGACAAATCCATTCGGGTGTTGAGAAAACAAGTGTTGCCAATACAAAGAAAATATAGCGTTCAGTCGTGGAATGACATATTGTGCAACTACAAGCTATCTGTGATTTAGAGTTTTGAGTGTTAAGGTCATCTGTGCCCGACTGTACTTCAAAGAAAAAAATTGTTGCATTTTATTAAAAACACTCCCTTTTATCATCTGTTGAACTGGGCAATAAAGATAATAAAATCTATAAAAGTATACACATGTTGCTATTAAGAAGCTTCAAGGATAATCTTTGTAGTAGAAGTTCGAGCCCCCTTTGATGTCAGAAATTTTATAAACTGATCTTTTATTAAAGGGAAATAATATGCTGTTGGCTCCTACAAATATGCTACAGTATGTGATGATGACAGAGATGAAAATAGTAATATGTACACTCATTTACAGTCGGTAAAAAAGCTCTCATAAATGGGACGGTGTTGCTGACAACCACTGCCACCATACACCATATTTTAAAGTCAGTACAAACTGCATTGACAAAACTCTGGGTAGACATTGTTAGTCAGCCTACTTTTCTCTTTTAAACATTGTTCTTGCTTTATCATGCTTTATCTATTTCTAAAATTAAAATACAGGACCAACAATTCATACATTAATCAAATACTTCAATTTACACATTTGTAACATTTTTGTGACTGCCGTTAATTGTGCACCAGAACAGACTTTCTCAAAACAGCAACCAGACATACCCTGAGAAATTTTGCATTGAATCAACATAGAAATCAGGAGATTGTCAGTTTTGAAAAACGAGAGACCCTCAGGCTTTTTATACTCAAGAGGGCAAAAGCACCTCACTTTCATTCATAGAAAAAACATTGACGGACAAAACAAATTATGTATATCGAGGTAGAAATAGAAAAAAAAAATATGCAAATCAAGTATTTACATTCACAAAAAGTGGCAGCAGTTGGGTCTGTCAGGTATTGAAATTGAAAGTACTGAAAACTAAATCAAAGCAGACCGCCCAGCTTTCCAGCCACTGTACAGACAGAAGACATTCACTATGGATCAGATCCACAGTTAGCCGGCATACTTAGTATTTTTCCATTTCAAACATGAACCATTGCTACTATGTGCTAACAAGCACTATCACAAAATTCATTTAGGATTGTATCCTCAGCAAGCCAGACATAAAAAATATCTCTAAAAATATATCTTACAACTACAATATTTACCTTCATAACAGTTATTATCAGTGAGGTGCGGCTTTTCCTTTTCATATCCCTCTCCCAAGAAGCGGACACAGGGAGCAGAGAGCTATGATTATGAAAGCTTCTAAAAATGATTTAAGATACGACAATGCCCATTTGGAGATTTGAGTCCACGCCTAAGCCTCATACACCATTGTATGGCCTGACAGCATGTGAGCAAACAGCGCCCCCAACGCTGTATATTAACTCCTTATCTCCAGCACACCGTTGGCAGCAGCTCACGGTCAGAACTGCTGTGTTAGTGAGCCATTGGTTGCGGCTCGGGTACATTCCTTTACGACGACGTTTAAAATCAAATTACTTTTCAGTAATTGTCGAAAACAGGTCGCTTTTATCGAGAGTTCATTTGTTAGATGAAGAACTATCTAGATAGGTTCACTTGTTTTGATTTAATGACCGTTTAGTGACGTTTTTTTTCATGTTTAAATTTAGTACCAAAAAAGGGCCCCTGCGTAGTGGGATAAAGAGTTAAGTAGACGGAATAAAACCTTGACCCCTAACTTTCAATGATGTTCACGCTGAGAGATGTTGTAGCTTAGAAGGGAATGTTCTACACAACAAATTGTAAGGCATTGCTGAGTTTGTTCAAGAGCTGTACCACATTTCTTTCACTGATCCCACATTTACCTCCGACTCTGTTATCAGAGTTCAGTCCTTCACAACACCAGCATAAGAGGGGTAATGGTCAGGCTCCTTTCCCTGAGTGCAAAAGATGTGAATCTGATTCCACACTGGGATGATATATTGTCATAGCCCACTTCCTAAGTGAGTTCATTCATTCTGACAGGTACATTAAAAAAAATATATAATTATTATTGCCATCCCCTTTTCTCCACGGCTGTTTTGATGACCTTTAATTCATGCACAGTGAGATAAATCGTCAATGTCACAAAAGCAGGTTTGTGATTGAAAGGGAAAAAACTGTGTTGCATTGAACATATAAATATGAAAAGGAAATTTATAGGATACATTCATACTTGCACTTCATTGGCATTAAAAAATTCAAAAGTGCAGTGCAAATGTATCCATTATATGATTTCGGTCTCCGCTATATTGCATTCTAAGCCGGTCACGTTTACTCTAATGTCCCCTGGTTCCTCTATTTGCATCCATCCAAACTTTGTTATTAACAACAAAAGGTGTTGTCTCTCCACAATGCTTTTATGCTTTGGAACATAAAAGAAAATGTCACAGAACACTTAAATGCTGCATGTGAAAGGACTACAGGAGGTAATATGACGCATAGTGACAGCAGGTAAGGAGTTCGGAACAATGTACAAACTCTTACTTTACATTGGTCTCAAAATACATGAGACAATGCTTCTCAAAAACACACCCCAAAACTGTTAACGTAAGGAAACGTTTCTCAAAAACAAACATCATCATGGCTGACAAACTTGAATATATACCAAGCAATATGGTACAACAGCTGCCACATTTCATTACAGCCTGAACTGACAGCAATAAGCTCATTCTCTAGCATTCTTCTCTTTCTCAGCAAATGAAACCCTAGACCTGGGTGCAAGTCAAGTTAAGTGTAAACACCTAATTACTCTAGACTCCACCAGATCACAAAAGTTCATAAACCACACATTCTTTTCAAATGTTCTCCTCAACAAATATGACAATTGACTACAAGAAAAGTACCCTGAACTTTTTTTCCGACCTCGTGAAAACGTGCATGCAAAAAATTTACAGACCATTCGTCACATACATCTTGTATGATCAAGAAGTCAGGCAAAATCCAGACAACTGCAGAAACCCAGATTTCTGATTTATTAGGAAAATCAACCCATCTGCTTTTAGGTTCCCACTGGTGAGTGTTTTGGTCAAAGAGTATTATTGAGACATGTGAAAACAAAAACAGGCTTGTGAAGAATCACACAAAGTTAGGAGCCAAGCCAAACTAATCTCAGATTCAAAACAAATTTAAAAAACCCAAACAATATGCCCAAACGAAAAGGGGAACAGACTTCTATTTTTCACCTGCCAGGATAATTATTCACCCGAAGTCTCTTCCACTTAGAAAATCACTCAACTGAAATGTTGAAAATATGTATAAATAGACAATTCCAGATATATTTCTTCTTTTTTTTTCAAACAGTAGAAAACTATTGTCCCAATTCAATACAAATGGTCGTCTCAAAAGTAATCCACAGATGCACTACTGCATCAGCTCAGCTGTATTCAGTCTTTTTTGTTGTTTGAAAGTAGTTTACAGAGTTACAGAAAAGCAGCACAATCACGGTCACATTTAGCCTGGAATTGATATTGGCAATGAAAATAATAAGTGTACGCAGTGGAATCAGGCGCTCGTCAATTTTTGGGCTTTTGGGCATATAGGCCTACAGAGTTATTAGTATCACCTTAAAGCTTGTTCATTTGTCTTACTTTCCGAGACAAAAATACCCATCTATCTTGAATAAAAGTGGAGATATTTGCAATTGAAGGTGTGGATCAGCTGATTTTAGAGGTAAGATTAATGAGAAAATAGATGCCAAAATCTGATGACTTCCAAACCAAGCTTGAGAGTCCTTGAAAACTGAAAATGTACATCTTTTGTATCTTAAATCAACATTTTTCAGCCAAAAAAAACACATAAATGTGTTTATAAAAGGACATAAAAGGCATTGAGCCAAAAAACTGAAATTCAATTAAAGTTGTCAAATTGGCGGAAAAATGCCAGTGTCTACGATTTCATTATTTTGACGAGCGCTTAATTTCACCGCTATGTCTCACATATATTTTTTTTGAAGAAGAAGTAGCATCTCCAACCAGAGTACACCAACCAACCACGAAATGGAGCTGACCAGGATTGGCGAGCTCTACTTCATCACTTCAAAATCAATTTTTCATTCATATATCGCAAAGTTTTAGCGTTAGTCTTAAGATCAACTAAAAAAATTCTTTGTTTTAATTCACATGAGAAACTGTGTTAATGTTGTCTCTATACACATTATGCTATTCCAAAATTACCCAGGTCACATTTTTTGATGGTGTTCACTGAAGTATGGTCTATTTTTTAGTTCCAACACTGACCTTCCAACTGAATATTTGAGTCTAAATGTGTCACGACACTCTGGAATCAGGCGCTTGTCAATTTTTGGGCACATTGAGTTATTAGTATAATCTTAAAACCTATTCATTTGCCACGCTTTTTATGAAAAGATCACTCATCTATCTTGAAGTTGAAGAGAAATCTAAATATTTACAATTAAAGGAGGTAAGGGTTGCCTGGTGTCAGGGGTAAAATTAGTGATAAAATGGCTGCTAAAGTACCGTGACTCTCAAAGCTTGTGTATCTTTGGAAGCTGGAAATTCACATTTTTTTTTATGCCTTTGATTAGTCTTTTTCAGTAAAATCTGCCCAATAATGTGTTTTTAAGTAGACATAACAGGTGCCGAGTCGAAAAAAAAAATTATATTAAAATTGCCCCAGGGCAGAAAAATTCTGGCTTCTTCGATATCATTATTTTGACCAATGCCTGCTTTCACCTCGATGCCACATTAAAGACAAATGTCGCTCTGTGCACAGCAACATCTTGAAAAATAAAAGACAAAAATATTTTTTTATGAAAACAAGGTTGTTGACTAAAAAAAAATTTCCCCACAAATTTCTCAGAATATCAAACTCTGATTCAGTCAAAAGTTGCATGAGAATGACAAAAAAGACAAATAAAAAGAGCATGGTACATTTACACCGACGGTCTCGGGACGGGTATGTTGAGGTCAGCAAATGGAGACACCTGGCTCTCAGTTGCCTCAGAGCTTGTGCCTGGCATGGGCTGATGGCCCGAGGTAGGTGCGGTGGACAAATCATTCCGTGTCGACAATGAGTTCATGGAACCAAATAACATTACTGGAAACACAGGGCCCGAGTCTGGGTGGCCATCTTGCTTTTCTTGATAAGGACCTTCTTCTGCGACACGGGTCGTCTTCTTCTTCTTCTTGGGAACCGCAGCTGATTTAATACAAAAGTCTTTCGATAAAACCCCCCGAAATATTCCCAGGCTCGCTACTCTCTTATCCTTCTTTTCACAATCGTATTTGTAAACTTGATAGAGTCGATTCACATCACGGTTTTCAGGGTTTAGAAAATTGTTGTTGCTTGCGCGATGAGGGCGCATACCCGTCAGGTAGATGATGAGCTCACGAATATTCTGAAGGGTATCCTCAGTTGTCTTATTGACAGGTTTATGTTTCCCCCTCATATCCACAATGGCTTCCTCTCCTTTACGGGCCTTCTCAAGAGCAGTAGCTATTGTACTCTCACTCACGTGCAAGGTGGCCTTGAAGAAATCTTTACACACACGCTCCTCTCTACCCTTGATTGCAAACAAATATTTCCGAGAAAACGCCCGTCTTCCAGTCATCTTTCTTTTTGGAGTATAAGTCTGAACATGTGTAGTAATGAATTCAATTTTCTTTTTGTATGTGTCCTTATGCCAGTACTCTTTATTAAACTCAAGACGTTCTTCTTCAGTTATTCTTGAGGTGCACTTAAACTTGCATTTCGAACAATCCACCTCACGCACTTTCTTAGCTTCCACCAACTTTCCTTTAACAGAGGTGTATGCTTCGCCTTTGAATCGTAAACGTTTTCTAATGTTCCTGCCCCACAATTCCTCATTACGACTTCTTTTCTTCGGCTCCTTTTTAGGTTTACTTTCTTTAGGCTTCCTGCTACGATTTACGGAGCTTCCAGACGACTTTTGTGGTTTGGAGGACAGAGATCCCTGAAATGGTACTGGTAGCTGATAAATCTTTGTTTCAACATCAAAGTTTGAGGTAGACGGTTGTGGGGGAGGGGCGGTTGAGGAAGAGGAAGGCGTGGATATTCTGTAGTTGAATAGGGAAGAGGATAATGCTGATGAAGATGGCTGACTTGTGTGACTCTGTGGAGGGAACATGGTGGGCGGGTAACCCAGATTGGGGCAATCAGAAGGGATGGACTGATTACCAATGCGGCCAGTATCCCACATGAAGGGTAGAATCGGGTTGATGTGAGACGATTTCTCTACCATGGGGCTCACAAAATCAGGTTGGAATGGTGTATTGTACAAAGCCTTCATGTTCTGCTGCTGGTGCTGATGCTGCTGTTGGTGTTGCTGATGTTCAGGCTGCTGCTGATTCACAGTGTGAGGTATATTGAGGGTGCACATTCTTTTCTCCATGTGACTGCCCATAGGGTGCAAATCAGCGGAACCCGGGTGGTAGGGGGTGGGGATGAGACCCAAGTCAAACGGTGATGCCGTCTCAGTAGGACTGACATTTATGTCTTCGGAGCCTGAGGGAATGGGGTTGGGCGAATCGAGCTCGGGGCTGGATGCTGGTTCTGGTGGGTGTGAAGAAGAATTATCTTCCTTTGTGGGTTTTGTTTTCTTTTTATTGTTGGAGAGAAGAAGAATGTCCTCAGGAGGTATTTCCACTGGTGGGTCCGTTTTGCCCATGTGCATGTCAGAATAAACTTTGCGGTAAACAGATATGCTGGCCGGCTTTTTCCCATCCGCCTCACATTCTGCATGAAAGTGCGCATACAGTTTCTTCACATTTTTAGCATCCTCACTGGGCGTACGAGACAGCTCCCCTTGGAGGCCAATCTGAGACAAAATGTGCTCCCTGATGGTTCTGACCACTTCTGAGGAGGTCTTATTGCTGGGCGTCTGTTTGCCGCGTAAATCAGCTATGGCATCTGGCCCTTTGCGCTTCTTGCTCATGTAGGTGACAATGGTGCTTTCACTAATATCAAAGGTGCTGACAAAAAACTCCTTACAAACTCGCTCATCTTTGCCTCTCACTTTGAGCATGTAACGACGAGAATACGCCCTTCGACCACTGACTGGCCTCAGAGGAGTGAACTCGTGCACACACCCTGAGATAAATTCAACCTTTTCTTTATACGACTCAAGGTTCCAGTACTTCTCAAAGAGGACTTTCCTATCTTCCTCCGACACACGCAATGGGCAGTTGAACTTACACTTGGAGCAATCAACTGGCTGCACAGATCTTGCCTTGATTGGTTTACCCATTACTGAGACGTAAGCCTCGCCTTTTGCTCGGGCCTTCTTGCGAATATTCCTTGCCCAAGTTTCTTCATCTCTTGTCCTCTTCTTCTTGGGTTTATCGTCTCGCTTTGACCTCTCCTTCCTTTTCCTTGGCACCGGATTTTTCCGGGACACATTACGCGCTGATGGCGCAGGTTGGGGAGGCACCTGCAAGCATGAAGGATTAGCAGCCGTATTAGAATTTGCTGAATTCAGAGAATCCTGGTCGTCGATACTTGGCACAAACCTATGCACATCTTCAAGAATTCTATCTGTAATATCAGGGGCACAGAATCCTCCCGGGGGTGGAAGGTTTAATGAAGGGGTCGCATGCATCAAAGCCATACCCAGATCAGCTTCTTTGTTGAAATGCTTCTCCAACGGTCGCTTCGGCAGAGCATGGGGCATCTGGTCTGACCGAGGTTTCACTTTGGGCCATGCCGGAAAATGCCACTGACCCCGATTTATGTTTTCATGATGGTGAACTTGAGGGTGATGATGGTGATGATGTTGGGCCTCTTCGGGGTAGTTCAGGAAGACGTAGGAGGAAGACGGCCCCAGAGGGTTTTTGTTCTGCTCCCGGGGAAAGTGCTCCCGGCTTGGCTGCATGTACGACTGCAGGTCAAGAGCCGGGGGCTGGAAGCTCTCACTGTAGCTGTTCCACATGTTGGCCGCAGCTGCTGGTAGCAATATCAGAAGAGGAAACAAAAAAATATTGGTTACTTCTTTCACGATCTGCAAAAAAATGTGTATAAAATACATTATGTGCTACAGCTACACCTGTTGAAACACACAAGCCGTCTATTACCATTTCTATACTATATATAAGACCCACCATCATTTATTCCAATAGAATCCTATTGCTAGAGAGTACGGCAGATACATTTTCCTCTGACGTCCCCTATAGAAGTGGTCTATTGTGGGACCTTCAAGCTTCAGTAAAACAGCAGTCACAAATTTGACTTGCATTCTATCAGAGCAGGGCGTCCATAACCTTCAAGTCAACCTGACATTTTAAAAAATAGAGAACGATAAATTCAACCTTTTCTTTATACGACTCAAGGTTCCAGTACTTCTCAAAGAGGATTTTCCTATCTTCCTCCGACACACGCAATGGGCAGTTGAATTTACACTTGGAGCAATCAACTGGCTGCACAGTAATCAATACTAAATTATATCAAAGATCCTATGTGTGTGAGTGCGTGCATGCGTGTGTATGTAAGTGTGTGTTCGGTGACAATGTGTGTGTGTAGGGATGCATTGGTGTGAATACATGTGTGTGTCTGGTACTAATTGGCTCCTTCTTACTTCTGTCTTTCAGCCACACCCCTAATCTTAGGGTAGGTGAGATCGAACACCTAGCCTTCTCGGACAAGAGGGAAAAATCTTGGAGTCACGTGTGCAAGTTGTACACGATAAAGATCCCTTGGTGGTCCAAAATCGATATATATAAGAGTAGGCTTCGGCCACCACCCTGGCAAAATTCAAAATAAATTCCTACCAAACTGAAAATGTTTAACGTGTCCCGTGCGCTCGTGTGCAATTGCGAGGAGCGTAAAACAGTTGACTTACCAGAAAAAAAACACATCATACTGCACAGACTGTGCTTATCCCTGTGACTTGACCCCAACAACACACCTACACACAATGCAATCATGCACTAAAGAACATGTTTTGTTATAAACAAGCAAAGAGCATATTTTTCTTTTCATTTCATGGAGGTCTGAAACAGCCCAGGCCAAATGTTACACTTTATTGCACATGGGTGCAGAATAAATACCAACCTACTGGGAAGGTTAACCTAATGCGTCAAAGTCTCAAAAAAGGCATAGCAAGGGGAGCCCTTGAAAGGGTTGGCAGAGGTGGTACATGTAGTAGTAGAAGAGGTGGTCTTTTTTATTACAAGTAACAGACACAATATAATTTAAACTGGAAGCACCAAATCCAAAGACAGACGAGAAAGAGACAAAAAGCACCTAGACAGAGAGTACCTCGATAGACAAAATTAAACTAAAGGTTCAGGTTGCTTCAAGCATCTCCGCAGACTGTGAAGCCAAGCTTAATTCAAACTTCTGTTTCACAGCCTTAAGTCCTTGCTGCGCAGAGCATAATCACCAGCATCAGGATTATTTGAAACCAAAGTGTAAACAAGCAGAAGCTAGAGACATGCAAGAAGATGTGTTCAAATATATATATCCCAACACATTCTAATGAAAGAAAAAAAAGATTCATTTTTAACTATCTGAGCTCTTGCATCAAAAAACATAAATCTTTATGTAAATAGAACACCAATAACACGAACTTAAAATCAAAACTATTACGCTGTCAATGTTTTTGATCTCAAACTTTTCAGGAACAAAACTTGAGAACATAAAACCTGAATATCGCTGCTTTTTTTTTCGGTTGCAACACAAAAACTCGGAAACCAATGACACCGGAATAAAAAACAAGCAAGCCACACAATTTGCAATTCTTCCTCTTCCCTTACCATAATTGTACACGTTACCATCCATCTTGACAGCAAATGGTTTGTCCTCCAGCAGACAACTCTAGGATAACTTATGTATCATGTTGCTCTCTGAAAAAAACAAAACAAGAAAAGGTAAATTTTACAATAATATATGTTTTGCAAAAAAATTTCAATAAAAACCATTAGATGCAATTTAAATAAGTTTCTAAAGCTTAAAAGCTTTTCAACAGCAGCCTCATAATGTGAAAGACTGCAACAAGATACTAAGTTATATTTATATTGTTGAGCCATTATAAATGGTTACCAGTATCTGCGGTGTAGGTGTTAGGCTCTTCACCATGACATGTACAAGGTGTGAGTCTAAGTCCTGAGTAGGGAGGTGTTCTATCAAGTGTTTCTATCTCGGTCTGCTGGGATGCTGTATCCCACTCAGCCTAAGCCAGCCCTGACAGACAAGGTCAAAGCAGCCCTTCTCAGTCACAGAGGACAGAGGACAAAAAGACTTGTTGGTGGCCAGTACCAAGCAGGACAATCATCTCAAGGGACTTGCCAAAAATGCAACATCAACAAACTGATGAGCTCAAGTTAATAATCCTCAAAAGCGCAAGAAGTGCTACACTGTTGCTCCGACAGCTGATATGTGGACATCGAGGGCTACTCAAGGATATTTGACTGTCTGGGGACACTGTCTCTCACCACTGTGGCAACTTTCGGTCTTTGTGTTTAACTTAACCTGACAATGGTGAACGCTCACACTTCAGGAAAAAAAAACGTAACTAAAGAATTTTAAATGGTCATCGAGCACTGGAATATTGACAAGACTAAATGTGAAGCTTGCTGACAAAATGAGTTACTTCTCACAATCAATAAATGGAGATATTGGCAAAAAAATCGACAATAGGGTCAAATTTAATCATAATAATGAAGATCATTTCTATAGTGCCCACTCCAGTGTAAACACAGCTCTAGGCACTTTACATAAATGCATGTACGAAAGAACACTATTAATGAATTATCAAATATTATATATTGCAGGTTGAGAGACATCTAATCTACCCCCATCTACACAGACACACTGCTGTCTGGGCCAAACAGATTTTCTACTGATGCCATATATATAATCTTTAGCTATAACCTGTCTTCGATTATTTCATACTTATAAATTGTAAAAACTTCACCTACAAGCATGATGTACCAATTTCCTTAAAGCTGGAATCCGAGAAGTAACTCATTTTGTCAGCACGCTTCACAAATGCTCTTTGTAGTGATCTTGCCAATGGAGTTGTTTCCCACCCCCCCATACCTCTGAAATCTTCATGTTTTGACCACACCCTCACTTTGGTCATGAAAGCGCTCTTTGGTAATGCCGAACAGCTCAGGGATACAATGAACAAGGTCCAGGACATTGTCACTTTGTGTCCTATTTCCACCACAGCATGTAAACAAGCAGCGGACTGTCTAAGTTAAGTTTTGAGAGTAACAAACATAAAAAAGAAGAAGGGGGAGATAAGGATGATAGATATTTGATAGGAAAGAAGAAGCAAACCACACCAGAACACCCGCCAACCACCCACTGGACTGTCTAAGGGAGCAGCAACAAACAGACAAGGCATTGAAGCTGACTCAGGAAGTTCCCACCAGGTGGAATTCAACTTTTATACAGGCTTCAACATAAGTTAAGGACCACCTTGACAGACACCCTGATTTATTTTTTTAATCTGAAAAAAGACAGCAAGGAATGTTTCAAAATTTTGTACTCTGAAAGTGTATATATGGGTTACCAATGCATGCTACAAAGCTTCCTAAAGGGGCAAAACCACTACAAGCTGCACGGAAATCCTCGGGGAATTTTAGCCAAATTTGCTGTTTTTTATCGACTTGTGTGCGACACCACGGACATTCCTCAGTTAAAATTTCTGGTGCACGTCATAAACGGACGTATGGTCTCGAACTGTGCCCACTTTAGTTGCCATATAAGCCGCCGTTTGCGCAAAATCCAGTATCGCATCAACATGCCATCAAGACGAAAGCTGAAAGACTTTGATCGTGCCAGGGCTATGTCATGGCTGCAGAATGGAGTTGGAGCCCGAGAAGTTGCCAGAAGGCTTGCAGTGTCACACTCTGTCATTGTCCGCCTGAGGCAGCGCCATCAAGCTACTGGATCAGTCCAAGAACGCCCATGTGCAAGTCGACCCAAGAAGAACACTCAGAGTGTTTGCAAGTGGTCCTTAACTTAAGTTGAAATCTGTATATATATTAGGGATGGGCAGGTACCGGAACTCCCATCTCTACTGAAGGAGGTGTCAGTACTGGCACCAGGTCTCCAGTAACGGCTCTGGGAAGGAGTCGACACCTAGACGCTCAGAGAGTAAGAACGTATAGGTTGACAACAACGGTTTTTTACCAGGCCACAGGAAGTGTGCTGTATGTAGGCCTAGGCCTAGATCTAGCAGCTGTGACGTAAGATGCACATAACGCAGCGAGTGACCTTGATACATGACTCCAGATTCAAAATTGACAATTAAAAACGAAGTTTGCTTAAATTAAAAAATGGCATCAAATCGGGTTCCACGCAAGCCACTTTGCTTATTTTGATACGCTGATTCCGAAAATGAAATTAGCTTTTAGTGACGATAATTATTTAAAAAATTCTGCATGCAAAGTTTTAGCCAGTTCGGCGGCAAACTTCAAAGGTATTATGCATCACAATTCGCCTCTCCAATTCTGACTTGTGTGTGTGTGTGTGGTGGGGTGCAGGCGGGGCTGATCGTGGCGAGACGCATGGTCTGTGACGTCACCTCCTGGTGTCACCCACAGTACGGTACTGGTACTGGCGGTTCCTGGGAAAGTACCGACACTGGGTTTCGCCGGTACCGACCAGAACTAATTCAGCTATATCAACATAGGTGACAACTGTCCAATAGATAGATGCCTCTAGAGCCACCAAGCTATCATGTGCCTCTCCAACAGTGAACTGGTTATCATCCCAGATGCTGTAAAACCTCACACCTTTTGACAAAACCACATGAGAAACAAATGGTGAACATTTCCCACCACCACCATGTCTATCACTTGTAAAAGTCTCCTCTTCCAGTCTACCAAGGCATTATCAAAAACTGGACTCAACTGGTTGTTGCTGACAGTCCTCAGAACAAATTCAGAAACCATTACAGGATTTTTTTTTTTCGGATGGCCAGCACTTCCTTTAATCCAAAATTGAAGAAACATGCTCTCTTCGAAGCCAAAAACTCAGTATTTTTTTTTACCTGACAATTAATCCTTTATCCACCCCAACTCTAAATTCTAACCCTTTACTTTTACCTCACACATATTCATCAAACTTTCTCTCAAAAATAAAAGTTATTCTATAATTAATAACAATAACAGCCCTCCTCCTCCTCCATAAGCCCAAAACCAAACACACCGACATTGTGCAAAACCAAATACACAGACACAAGAGGAATAATATACAGAACAAAACGAAAGACACTATTAATGAATGATGAAATATTATAATATATTGCAGGCCGAGAGACATCTAATCTACCTCCATCTACACAGACAAGCTACACTGCTGTCTGGGCCAAACAGCCGTACTTTTTTGCTGCAGATCACTATATTATGGCCTCTAAAACTGTCACAAAGTCAATAATTAAATTAAGAAAATTTTCAACCCAATTTTGAACATCAAATGGGAGATAAAAGGGGGGGGGGGGGGGGCTAAACCCCCCTGACTGACCCAAATTGTGTCTGAATGAAAACCTCAAAAACAAATAATTTATAAACTTTACGGATCAGTGGAATTCCAAATCGATATTACTTCAATTTTAGTTGTAAAAATATGTGCGAGTCAACTACTATCTGCATTGATGTTTTAGAAAATAGCGTTCTAGTGCCTCCTGAGGGTTTTTTTAGAAGTCTAATCGGTGCTTCCGAGCAAAAGAGAAGGCAGAAAAAATTTTTATTTCTTCCTAAGAATCTGATGCAACAGACATAAAACAAAAAAATCAGGATACACGCGATCGAAATCGGGAAAATCGGGGTCCTTGCTATTTGGGGAAAAAATCGGGACGAGTGGCAGGTCTGCATTATAACATCCATTTTTTCACAAAGTGTTGTCTTTTGTTTGATTTCTTCACCTACATATTATCTTTCCTCTGTTGGCAATACAGTCGAACCTGCCTTAACGGAAACCTGTGTAAAAAGGAAACCTGTCTCAACAGAATCTCCCGGCTCCCCCCTTGATATATTCCTCTTTAATTACCTGTATATAACGGAAATCTGTCCAACGCGGAAACGGAAAGAAAAATCCGCTCTCTTCCTAGGGTTTCACCTGTCTAAGATGGAAAATGACTTGCCCGCTCAGCCCTGATTTGAAACAAAACTCGCAAGTTTGGTTCCGCCGGCTCTAAACTTTACACCATGGCCATGCCGCTAGGGGAGGAAGGGGAGTAGATGTGCAATTTAGGGGTAGATGTTACCCCATTATGTGAGCCCTGAGGGATGCCGATGGTCAGGGTAGTGTGGCTGTGAAATTTCATGACTGCCCGTGAGAGTGCTCGAGTAGCGAGCCACTACGGAAACTTTCCTGGGTAGCCAGAGGTGTGAAATTAGTTTGACCAATGCCTGCCGCCCTGATTGTACGCCAGCCGAGAAAAGAGTTTCTTTAATCGTTGTTATATGGCAGTGAGGGGTGGCATTGGTTGACTGTGCCTATTACACTGATAGGTGGGGGGCTAAGGGTGGAAGCAAAGGAGATGTTCAAACGTTTCTGTTTTTGATAGGTCAAACAGCAGTGGTCCTATGAAAGGCAAGCACTGGTGATAATTGGATAAGTAAGAGAGGTGCATATCATTATCAGACAGGATTGCAGTTGAGAGGTGTGAAGTTTTGACCACTGCTTGCCGATCGGACAAGCGATCCTTGATCCCACCGGCTGGGCCTTTGAGCCCCCCCCCCCCCTTTTCATCTCTCCCTAAATTCCCCTGTCTAGGCCGGAATTTTTTTATGGCACCCTTGCAATTCCATCTTACACAGGTTCGACTGTATATAAAAGCATATTCCCCACGCCATTGTTACTATGATTCAATTAACTTATCATCACACCA